GTCTGTGTCCTAACCATTAAGTTGTTATCAGAGTAAATCCCTGTTCATCATGAGTCTGACAACTAAGAATAAAATAAACAAACAGGTAAACGTCTATGAACCGGCTTAAGAAAGCCGAAAGCTAAATTCAACCCTTATATCAAATAAATGTAGCCGTTTTGTTTCGTGCTCAATGAGCAAAATGTATAAAATTACAAATAATTTGAATTTAAGGTGAATTTAAAGAGAAAGTCTCAGGTTGAGGCTACGATTTGGGGTTTTATGCTCTGGGATTTTTCTGCCCACATGTTTTTCCTCTCTGGTCATTTTCTCTTTCACATTCAGACTAAAACCTACCGACGCACACCGGCCGCGTGCCACTCCAGGTTTTGTCTTCCTGGCAGGTCTGGGTGGAGTCTCCCTGATAGAGAGAGAGAAAGAGAGAGAGAGCATAACGATGAGCCAAGCAAAGCAAAGCAGAGGGCTCACGTCCAGTATCGATCTGTTCAGTAATATGAAACTGGATCCAGATCATGTCTGAGGGAATGTTGTCTTTCTAACCACACCCCTCCCCGAAAAAAAGCCCTGAGGGGAAACCATGTGACTGGATTTCTGTCAGCCATTAGTGCCCAGAGGGCAGGCTGCTGCTTACTCAGCAATCTTGTTATTGAATTTCCAATGAAAGAAGAAAAATAAGTTATTTATATGTTATGCAGCATAGAAACCTGCACATATAGTGAAAAAAAACTGCTGAAAACTGATATGACAGAAGAAAAGAACAGAAGCAAATACAAAAAACTAAAACAAACCCGAACAGAAATAAACAAAAAAACAAAAACACACCCCAAAACAACGACCCTCAAATCCTGTCAAAGAAATTATTTTCTTGAAGTGAACCCGTATACAGAAGAGAGAAAAATAAGATTGTAAGTACAGTAGAACCTCTGCATACGAATTTAATTTGTTCCAGTACCTCCTTTGTATGTAAAAAGAGATGTAAAAATACATAAATTATAAAGAAATAATCTATAAAAAGGGGGTTTTATTGGCACTTATTGGTGAATGGAGGTAGAGGTGGAGACTGAGAAACAGGACGAACCCTAACTTCCTCTAACTCCCACAACCTGAACTTTAAGCTAACTTATCTTATTTATTTTTATTTAACTTGGATTCTTTTCTAAGACTTCGACGCCATTGGAAATTTCCTTCGGGTGTCGAGTCGAACATTTGATTTAATTTAATTTCGGATTTTGGAAAATGTGTATGTTTAGGCATCGCAAGTAGAGCTTCTGCTGTATAACAGAGCAAAAAATATAATATAATTAGACAGAATAAAGTAAAATTACAACCCCATACAGTAAAATGACACCCCTCCCCTCTTTCACTTCCTGAACTTCAAGCTAACTTAAGCTAACTTAACTTATTTATTTTTATTTAAATAAGT